GAAAGCATTGAGTCCAAGTATTCCCAATTAATGGAGTCAAAAGCTTTGTCAAAATCTACTTTAAACAACAAAATCCTCTTCTTGATACTTCTTGCCCATCCACATAAGTCATTTACTATCAACGATCCATCCAGTATACTCCTACCCTTAACATATGATGATTGGACCTCTCCGACCACCTTTCCCACCACAGTCTTTAACCTCGTGGCGAGCAATTTGGAGATTATTTTATACATACAGCCTATGAGGTTGATTGGCCGGTAGTCGCCAAGAGTAGTTGGGTCTTTGACTTTAGGAGCAAGTGAAATGCAAGAAGAGTTACAGCCCCTCCCTAGAGTGCCAAATTCATCGAAGTGTTGTACAAACCTCATCATGTCAGGAGAAATACATGGCCAATATTTCTTTATAAATTTAAATGTCAATCCATCCGGGCCCAGTGCTTTGTCCCCACCACATGCCCATACCACCTTCTTGACTTCCTCCAACGAGAAAGGAGCCTCCAACCTGATGGCGTCCATCATGTCAATGGATTTAATGTTAGAATTTACAAGTTTGGGACGAGAAATCCAATTTTCTTTAAATTTGTTCAGAAAGAATCTAAAAGTATGATCCTTGATTTCTTTCACACCAGTCGACCAGTTCCCGTTTATCGTAAGACCTGAAATTCTGTTTTTCTTCTTGCTATGGTTAACAAAGCCATGGAAAAATTTAGAGTTCTCATCACCGTTGACAACCCATTTCGTTTTTGCCTTTTTCTTTATATCCAAAACTTTCATTTTTTTCGAATTCCAGCAACTGATGTAGCCCATTACTTCTGATCTGCAATTCATTAGGGGAGAGAGCTCTAGTTTCAGCTGCCTTTTCCAATTTCCCTATCACTTCTTTTATGTTGGTTATTTCTTTTGTCTTTTTCTTATGTTCTTCTCTTCTCCATGTTCTAATCTCCTCCTTTAAGTGTTTCAATTTAGCTGCCAAATAAACATCCGTAGTACCGTGCCCTTGAAAGCCAGCCCATGCGTTAAGCACAATTTGGTCAAGACGATCAATCATCAACCATGAGTTAAAAAATTTGAATGAGGGGAGGCCAAAGTCACCCCTATCCGTATAAAGAGTAATAGGGCAATGATCTGAGATTTCTCGAGGGTGAGCCGTAGCAGATAAGGATGGGAAGCTATTCAGGAAATTTGAACACGCCAAAAATCAGTCTAGCTTGCTAAGCTTTGCGCCAACTCTGCTCATGAAGGTAAAATGTTCACCTCCCATGTTGAAGTCTTGAATCTCCGCTTTTCTAATAAAACTATTAAAGTCACCAGCACTTTTGGGACATAATTGTGATCGAAATCTCTCTTCTTTTCTTCTTACCACATTAAAGTCTCCAAAAAACAACCATTTTCCTTGCTTCTCCTGTTTTATTTTAAGTAATTTGTCCCATAACTCCTTCCTTTTTTTTGTGTGTGAGGCCCATAGATGTTGGCAAAGATTGTGTTTCCAGTAATCCCAATCCAAGAGCCAATAATTATCAAAAAATGTCTATTTTTGATAACCTCAGTGTTCTGAAAATATATTGTGTCCCAAATAGAGATTATACCTCCAGATCTTCCACTGCAATTTACCCCGTCGAAATCAAAATCCAATGAATCCCAACAACCACTTATGTTGATCTTTGTGTAGTCTAACTAATGTGATTCCTGAATACCCACAAAAGATGACTTGTGCTTCACCTTCAAACTCTTAACCCAATTTACCTTTGTATCCACTCCAATCCCACGCACATTGAGGGACATACAATTCATTGAGTATGTGGGTTTGCGCCATTCTCGCCAACCACCTGGGCTAAGATGACATTGTTAACTTCAATCTGGAACCCAAGTTCAGCCCCAATTTTGACAGTGTGCATAATCTCCATGGAATTAGAACTTGAACAATCACCCAATGCATCAGTCGTCGCATCCTGGGTCTCCGCGATAGATTTGTTGAGGTCCAAAGATGACGATGCCTCATCATTGGTCGCATCTTCGTAATCGATCACCACCAGAGGGGGAGAGGGTGCAATAGGTGGATCAGGAATCAGGAGTGTGGGAGTAATCAAATCATCTATGTATGTCGATATAGGGTTTAAAGGACGTCGTTTCCTTTTTTTAGATTTAGGGCTTCCATCGATGGAATCTGGATCCAAAGTATTATCCAATTTTTGAGTTACTTTGTTGTGGGCCTGCCTTGTTTTAAAAGAAGTAAATGGGTTTGGGAATAGGCCAAAACAAATGAACTGAACCATATTCATCGGAGATCCAAAGTTGTAGTTTACTGTAGCCGCCTCAACTCGATTCTCCGGATTGTTTGCATTGATCCCCACACCATTATTGTTATCATCGGGAACCTCCGTGTCTTGAATTGTCATAACGTCTTCTATTATTTTCGTGTTGAGAATATCAATCGTTCCATTGCTAATGTGAAGTTTCTCCATAGAATTAATTGAATTATCGGTTGTATTAATTGTTGGTGCATCTTCCGAGACCATCGACATAGTCAATTTCCGGCCAATGTGGTCGTGATTAGCATGGTCGTGTTCTAGATTCACCATCGGCGAATCCGGCTTGTCAGCCGGTTTTGGTGAATTCCCATTGTCTTGGATGATTTCTCCTTCTTCTACTTCCTGGTTCTCCGGCCCCATCCAGGTGTCGGATATACCATCTTCATCGTCCTCTTCGGATTCTCCCTCTGTCATACCCAATTCTTCTTCATCCAAATCTTCTTCCACCTTATCAAACGGTGCCGGGTGAAACGCCGACCAATCATCCGTGAACTCAACGATTCCCAAGTTGTAGAGTTTACCGTCAACCGTGATTGTGACTTCCTCATTAATCCATTTTCTTTGGCGAGTACCATTTTTGTCATAACAGACATCCAATTTTAGAACTAGTGACCAATTTCAGGAAATTAATGACCGGTTTTAATGACTACCAGGGTTTTTTACCATCAAAGTTTGGAGACTAATTAATTATTAGTTCGCATTTTTGTCATTATGAAGGCTGGTTGTAGTGACTTTTTTGAGCTAAATTGCTGTCTAATGATATTTTCTCTTGTAGTGAGCTTTTCATTTTATAATCTTTAAGGTGTTGTTTGTTTTGGAAGTGGTTAAATGTCTTTTATCTTTTTCCATGTTTGCGGAAAAAGACGTGCACTTGAGAAACGTCTATCCGTCAGAAAGGAAAAGTGCTCAAAAAGTACTTTTATAGAAAAACAAACGAGGCCTAACTGCATATGGTATGGGCCCGTTACGGGCATGTTATGGATGAGGTGACAATGAAAACGATGTCATAACACCATGAACACCACCCCTGGTGCATGTTAAGGATGTGTTGTGGCATTTCTCGTTGTAACGAAGACGCAATGAAACGAGAAATGTGATTGGTTATTCATATTTTCGACTGCGAATGTTATTATAAAAAATTAATTAATATTTTTTAAACTATAAATATATACTATCTATTTATTTATGTATTTCACATCATTCTCATATTTCTTTAATTATACTTTATACAATTCCATTAACTTTAAAAAAAATTATGATGGTTACGTAATGATGATGAACAGTGTTATTTAGGAAAAAAAATTATGTATTTATTTTTGTCTTGTAATTTTTCTTAAATCTGGATGTTATGTTTAATTTAAATATTATGTTTTGTAAAAATATATTTGTTTAGTAAAAAAAAACTTAAAAACAAATAAAGACATGAAAAATTAATGGATGTTATAACATGTTCTTAACATGGTAACCATTTTCTCAATTGATGTTATAAGACCATGGATGATGTGGCATGTTGCCCATAAGCTCTAAATAACAACATGTGGATACCTTGGGGACTGATGGTATAAGCTTAATTGCACTATTACAGTACTCATCACCATCTTCTATCTATAAACCATTGCAAGATTGATCTAGGTTCTAATTAAATTCTAGGTCATAAAATTGAAGAGCGTATAGTTATAGAATCAGACATTTTCGTCAATGGAATATTGGTGTTTTGCCAAATTATCACACATCATATTAAATATTAATATCTTGACATTTCAAAAATCTTACCGAATGGATAGCCCACACAAAACCATCAAATTAAAGCAGTACTTCAGACCCACTCATATTTCAAATCAGTAATTGGTGTGGATACTGAACTCATTTTATTGTCAATATTGTCCATAAGAAACAAGCTTTGTCAGCCATGATCTTTTCACTGTTGGGATTTTCCTTCGAGATTATATATTCATAAGGCCTGTACAATTCACATTTATTTATAGCATTGTACAAAGAATTCTAAAGATCGTAAGACCCCAAATTAATAAAAGAAAATAATGTTATAAATTAATAAACTTGGAAACCAAGTAAACAACACTCCAAAGTCCAACCAGAAAATGGAAATGTTGCCATAAATAAGAAATCTAGCAGCAGATGCAACAATGCTAATACACCACTTCTGGAAAGGTTGCCTTACTCAGGAAAATTTCTTGTCATGCAAAAAGTTAGGGTTTCGGAGCACCTTCAACATCAAAGTCGGCTGACATTTAATTAACAAGGTCGTCATTTCAACATTATGTAATTTAAAATAAATGGCAGGGTAACGAATAAAGATTTCTTGTGATGATTTGCCAACGTTTCCTTAGTTTGTCAAACTCCATTAGAGAGTAGCACGTAGTCTCTTTTCATTTATATGCTAAACTCTATATCAAGTGACTTCGATAATGGCAGGCTGATTAGAGAATCCAGGAGAAGCAAATATTGTGACTCTTTTTGCCAAAAAATATATAGCCACATGATTAATTAATTAATGAAGGGATATGGATCACGTCCAAACAAAACATACCCTATCTTCAAAACGACTCGATCACTCGACTCTTATCCCATTATTTTATTTGGAAAATAATATTTTGAAATCAATTCACTTTGGACAAACACAAATATGGGCAACGCATCGCGTCCAAACATTCTCTATCTTCAAATAAAACCAAGATTAATGCAGTCAACAATTAATGTCATAACATTTGCCACCTACTTTCTTGATATTTTCATATTTAGATTTCCCCGGAACTTCCTATATTCCATCTAACGAACATCAGTTGTGAAGTTTTTCCATTCACGCTTAATCATATCATCATATTGTGATTTGAGCATTTTTTTTTCAAGCTTTTGCTGATTTTACATCCATCCGAGCGGTTCCTTTCGAAGGAAATTTTTTTTTTTAGCCTCTAAGTAGAGAGCCTTGCACTGGTAAACGGGTTAAGATGATGTATTTGCTGCAGTCATTCTCTAAAACCTATTCATAGATTTATCAAGAAATTTAGAAGAGAGCTAGCTCCAATCATGTTCAAGATCAACATTTGAGGGGCGTTGACTGTGACTTTGGCTTTGGAGGTTTTTTCAAAGGCCATCAGTCCTTTTGATTGATGTTAATATCTATTGAATAAATCTTGAAATCAAGAAACACTTCTTCTTTGGATTTAATGAATGCAATTCGTTGGCTCGGAGAGCTATTAGAGGAAACACATTGGAGTTTCGTGGTTGCGGTTGTGGTGATTTATGGTATAAATCAAGGGTTTGGTTATGCTCTTGCTAAGGTGGGCACAGACTACTACATGAAAGATGTGCAGAAACTCCAACCATCTGAATCACAGGTTTACCTACAAATCGCCAGAATTCCATGGGTTATTAAGCCCATTTGGGGTCTTTTTACAGATATTGTTCCCTTTTTCGGGTATCACAGGAGGCCTTATTTTATTCTTGCTGGTAATTACCCATATATAAATATATATGTTCATTCATATGCTAGTATAGTTGCTTGCATATTGAATTACTTGAACGTAGCTCATTTTTTAGTTTGGCTCAATTAACTAGAGATATGCAACATAAAGCTCAAAATTATTGAATATAAATGCCTCCTTCTTTGATCCTACTGATAAAGCAAAAACGTGTAGATATATAATATTATACTAAAGTTAATTACTCCTTTCGGTTCATAAAAACTGCAACAATCTGCCTAGAAACAACTATAACTATATATTTGCCTTTTGGTCTCTTGCAATTTGATGGTGCATATTTTTTTTTAAAGGAAACAATACAAAACGATTTTGCCCATATGAGGTTACTATGGTTCGTGTCATGATTATCTCTACAACATTAAAGGATTTTTCCCGTATAAGGTTTCATCGATTTATTAACTGAATATTTGCAAATTTTTCAGGCATTGTAGGAATTCTATCGATGCTTTTCTTGTCATTGCATGAAAAGCTTCATATAGGACTAGCATTGCTGTCTTTAATGGCCGGGAATGCTGGAGGTGCGATAGCAGATGTGACAGTTGATGCGTGTATAGCACATCAAAGTGTTACTCATCGGTCTCTTGCTCCACATATGCAAAGCTTATGTTCCATGAGTTCTTCAATAGGAGCTCTTATCGGATATTCTTTGAGCGGTGTCTTTCTTCATTTAATTGGTCCCAAGGTTGCTTTCTTTTTCATTTTCTATACATGTAACAATCGTAACACTTTTTTTTATAGATATCCAATGAAAATTGAAACATTTTTTTCATGTTTAAATTACCTGTACGTGCCCTTCTGCATTTACAGGGAGTTTATGGCTTGCTAAGTATACCATATGCCCTCATGTTGCTGGTTGGCATTTTGCTAGATGAACAACGAGCTTTAACTGATTATACACAGGTACATATAACTAGCCTTTAGAGGGTTTCATTACAATTTGTGTCCTATCGTCCAGATCTTAATTAGTCCTATATGGATCCCAAACAAAGTAAAGGGTTGTCATGTTCTCTCCTATTAATTTAATCAGATACTAGATGTAAGATCCGTGTTGTATACGAGTTTATTAAAAATAAAAGTTTAATATAAAATTATAAGCATGTAATTTTTAAAGCAATAGTTTTACATAAATACAAATGATATAATAAATAAAGTAATTAATTTAATATATATTCTAAGAGATTTGAAACAAGAAGGAAAAAACACTTAAAGAGCGTTTATTCTGATATTTAATATAATGATCTACTTTAAATATATAAACCTTACTAAAATTTGGATTTTAAATTTAAGAAAAATGAAAAATATAAAAAAATAACAAGTGGAAAAAAATAATTCAAAAAATCTTAGAAAATAACATATGTCAAATTCAATAAGAACATGACATTTGACAAAAAATGATTTTCATTTATTAGATTATAAATCAGTATTATATATGGTTGATCAAGCAAGCAATATCGATATGATATCCATTGATCTCTACATATGAGCACCTATATATGCTTTTTGCATTGTATTTGTAATATTTGGAAAATACCTTTACGCTTTGTGACTGCTAATTCTGGAAATTTTACCTTGTTTAAATATCAGGTTCCTAAGAAATTTTGGGATGCTATTATGCGTATGTTGACAACTCTGATAAGACAAGATGTGTGGGGGCAGTGTTTTTATATGTTTATCTCCTTTGCATTGAGCTTGAATATCCACGAAGGCTTGTTCAAATGGGAAACCGATTCGAAAGCAGGCCCATCTTTCTCCCAGGTGCCTAGTGGTTTCTCTCCATCTCTCTCTCACACACACACACACACACACACTCTCTCTCTCTCTCTCTCTTGTTGGTTTCAGGCCAGCTCACTCAAGCTTTACAAAACAGGGGACAAAGAATTAACACAGGGAAAGAGGCAAATATATCTATGTTTTATTCACTGATAATGAGAGGAAACATGGGACAAAATACAAACATCTGCCTATCACTGATAATGAAAGGAAACAAACATCTGCCTATCATTTTAAACTACACAACTTTGTAGAAAAATAGGAAACAAACTTGACTAGTTGCCAAAGACCAGGAGCTCACTCATTGATATCTTTGATTTATTCAAAGCTAATAAAAACGTGCATAAACATGACATTCTGAATTAAACTTAACATTTCCCCCCTTAATTCTTAATCTTCTCTACTCCAACTAAGTCTCGCATCTCCTTATGTTTTATCCTTTCTAATGACTTTGTGAGTATATCAGCCTTCTGACTTTTACCACATACGTGAGTCACTGTTATATCACTATTCTCAACACACTCTATGATGAAGTGATACCTTGTGTCGATATGTTTACTTCGACAATGAAATACTGGATTTTTATTAGATCAAGGGCTGATTGATTATCAACAAACAATGTTACCGGTGGCACTCTTTGATCTGTGATTTCTGTAAGAAGTCATCTTAGCCATATACCCTGAAAAGCTACCATAGTGGCAACTATGTATTCTGCCTCACATGATGATAGTGCCATAACTCTTTACATAGAAAGCCATTCCCCCTATGCTTCTCCTACATTAACATCCTTAGTCAAGTCACTATCAGTGTAACCTGAAATGGTGACCTCTTTTCCTTCTTTTGTGTAGACTAAACCATGATTCAAGGTTCCTTTTACATATCTAAGGATCCCTTTTACTGCTTGGAGATTTTTTATGGTGGGTTTCTCCATAAAACGACTAACAACACCAACAACGAATGTTATATCGGGTCGAGTATGAGTGAGGTACCTTAGGAAACCAACGATGCTTCTGTACTCAGTTGGGTTTACCGGCTTCTCGTCTCCATCTTTGGTCAAAGTAAGTTTGTGCTCCATTGGACTCTTGGTGGGGTTGCAATCAAGCATACGGGTTTTGACCAAAATGTTCTTAGAATAAGCTTCTTGCTTTAGTGTAATCCTATTATCTTGTTGGTTTACTTTGATTCCCAGGCAGTATGTCAACATACCAAGATCACTCATTTCAAATCTAGCATTCATCACCTTCTTGAACTCCTTCACAGTTTCTAGGTTGCTACCTGTCACAAGCAAATCATCCATATATACTCCAATAATCATAGTACTTCCATCCTTTGTTCTTGTATACACCAAATATTCCTGTGCACATCTCTTGAACCCCAGACTCAGGTACTTATCTATACATGAGTTCCAAGCTCTGGGAGCCTGTTTCAACCCATACAGAGCTTTTGTTAACTTATATACCTTTCCAGGTTCATCCTTCATCTCGGAGTCTTCAGGTTGTGAAACGTGGACTTCTTCATCCAAATACCCATTCAGAAACGCTGAATTCACGTCAAGGTGATGCACACGTCACCCATTTGAACCTGCGAGGGCCAAGATGACTCGATGTTTCTATCCTTGCAACTGGTGCGAAGACCTCTTCAAAATCGATGCCCTGTTTTTGAACGTATCCTTTTGCTACGATTCTGGCTTTGTGCTTCAGGATATTTCCTTTTGGGTCTTGCTTTACCTTGAAAACCCACTTTAGACCTATTGACTTTCTCCTTTTTGGTAGTTCGACTAGATTCCACATACCATTCTTCTCAATCGATAACAATTCTTCTTTCATCGTATTGACCCATTCCACCTTATTTTTGGCTTCTTGGTACGTGGATGGTTCTTCAACGTCTTGAGTCATCCACAAATGTTCAGTCGCTTCATAAAAATCCGTAAGCATTCTCTATCGTTTAGGGGCACCGCCACCGGTGGAGCTGGAAGCCGTGCTTGAAAAATTGGGTGAAATCAGTGCATTTGGCATTGACGGTGAGTTCGTTGGACTTAATGGACTATCGTGTGGGCCTGTTTGAGGGTCCAATTGGTAGTTGGGATGAGACTCACTACTAGTTCAGTCCACATTAACTGGGGATTGATTGGTATCATGACCATTGGGTGTAACTTGGATTGAACCATCTTCATCATCGACATTTTCTTCACCGACAAAGCCTTCATCGTTGAAGTCGAAACTTCAACGGTGAAGCTCATCCCTTGTGTTCCTATGATTTTTGTTGTTTTCTCCCACATCCATGTCTTACCTTCCTCAAACACGACGTTTCTGCTTACATAAATCGACCCAGTGTCAGGATCCAACAACCTATACACTTTCGTTCCTTTTTCACCCCCAGATGTACACCACACATACTTCTTTCGTCCAACTTCTTCAGGTGATTCTTAGCAATCATCTTATATGCAACGCACCCAAATACCCTCAGGTGACCAACATGTGGCTTGAGACCAGTCCACATTTCATAGGGTGTGGTATCCTTCAACGCCTTCGTGCTTACCCTATTCAACACATAGACGACATAGCTCACAACTTCACCCGATATCGTATGTGATACATGCATCGTCTTCAAGTTGCTTCTCATCATTTCAATCACTGTTCGATTACGCCTTTCCACCACCCCATTCTGCTGTGGGGAATAGGGTGAGGTGAAATGTCGCTCGAGTCCGGTTTCATTACAGTAGGTGGTGAATTGGTTTGACAGAAATTCACCACCTCTATCTGTTCTTAGAACTTTGACTTTCTCTCCTGTTTCGATCTCTACTTTTGCTCTGAAGTTTTTGAAGAATTCAAAACCTTTGTCTTTTATTTTCATCAAATATACCCACATTACTCTACTGTAATCGTCTGCAAGGAGCATGAAGTACATGTTGCATGCTGGTGTAGGGGGTGAGACTGGACCGCACAAGTCTCCGTGAATCAATTCGAGCCTCTTCCGTGCTTTGAAACTTGTACATGATGGATAGGGTTTTCTTGATTGTTTCCCAATCAAGCATCCTTCGCATGGCTGGGATGGTATGACCATCTTCATAATTCCTTCAATTATCCCTTTCTCTCACATTGATTTCAAAGAAGTTAAATTTACGTGACCTAACCTTGTGTGCCAGAACCAGGTTGGGTCACTGATTTTGACAACTACACACCTCGAGGTGACTTCTTTTAGCTCAGTCTTGTAGAGACGATTTGGTGAACGTTGTACCTTCATGGGCAATCTCATTAGTCATAAACCCTTTGGGAATTCTGCTTGATCTTGATCTCATCTCCTCCTTTTGACAGTTGGCCAAGGCTTATGATGTTGCTGCACAACTCAGGTATATAGTACACTTCTTTTAGTTTTCTTTGCTCACCATTTTTACATTGGAAGATGATTTTAATGCCCGTGTTTCTAGGCTAATCATTAGTGTGATGATGTAATAGTTAGAGTCAACAATGTAACCTACTTTGATGTAATTATTTGAACATTATGTGAATTATATGATTTTTATGTGCATTATACTTATTTATAAAATATAATAAGTTAAGAATAAAAATAATCGCCAAAAATAAAATAATAGATAGACCCAATATCTATGAATAACGTTGTAGTGGTCGTGACAAGGATTCCATAGATATAAAGAACGCTGAAATCCGAGTTATAACGAAGAAGTTATGACTTGTCGAAGTTTCGCGACAAAACCGACAGTACGTTGTGTGCCGTAAAAGGTGAGTTTACGATAAAGTACTTTTTAGCCTTAGCAATCTAAACAAAATTCGTAGTATACGTTGAACCGAGAGCATGAATAAAAAGAACGCCCAAATCTAATTTCGTATGAGGAAGTTATGATTTTTCTAAGATTCGACATAGCAGTATGCAGCCCGGAGTTCGAATGTTAGATCGACCGATTTTTAGCCGACACAACCTAACGAGAATCAAAGATCTCGTTAATAGGAGCTCAACGATAAAAAGACAGACTAAAATGGACGTCGGATGACAAAGTTATGAAATTTTAACTGACTTTTCCTATCCCGACCTGTTAAAAATAAAACTTTAAAAATAAAGTCAAAATTAGCCAACGGAGTCTAAATGAAAGTTGTAGAGTACGTCTCCACCTACACGTGGATATAAAGAAATTTGAAAATGGAGCTCTTATACGAAAGTTACGGATTTTAGAACTCGGGAATGATAAATGTGAGACTGCTCAAGGAACGCCCCGCGCAAGTAGAGGGAACGCCCTGCGCTCGCATGCATGGCTCCGAATCAGCCATGTCGCCCCAGCTAGCTTCGACACGCGCCCCCTTCGGTCGCGCTACGTTCGAATGAGCGCCCTGCGCACCCGGAACGCACTGCGCTTCACCGAGGAACGCCCTGCACACCGAGGCTCTAGCCTCCTATAAAAGGAGGTGCGAGGGTAGCTCTCATTCCTCACTCCTCACCCATTCTCTCTCTAATCTCTATCTAAACAACCCCAACCCCTAGTATCTTCATAGTGCTAGAAGAAGGCCCCGGAGTGCCCGAAGGCTCCAAGAAAAAGAGCTTTTCGGCTCGGGAAGTTCTGCCCCCACAGAACCCGGTTTTTAGCAAAATCCGTTGTAATTCAGATACGTTTACCATTTAGTATTGTTATTATGAACTTATAATAAATATTTGGGCTATTATTATGACTTATATAAGTGTCGTTATAACATCTTTTTAACTACTCGCGGTACGGAGAATCCGGTTTGAAGGGCCGCCTGGGTTGTTGGATTTCAGAAGTGCTTTAATGCCAAAATGGTATTGCCCTCCGGTGTTTCATGTTTGGCCCATGTCTGTACATAGTGGTTGGAAAGTATTATTTAACACTTATATAGTAATAATAATACTAAGACTATTAATTTGTCGCATTAAATATTAGACTAAAATCTAGTGTTAATGATACTAGGTTTCGTCAAAGGAATGTAAATTAATAGAAGCGAAGCGCTGTCTGATTTCGGAATCACCACCTTAACAGATGAGTGAGGATAATGGGAACAGGTAATCGTGTTGAATGATTTGATGAAATTAATAAATTTAATTATTGTGGGTTGAAAAACCTATGTGCTCACTAGGCTCCCAAGCCTGACCCACTTAGTTTCTTGTATTACAGATAGTGGCACAAGAGCATAGATGCGATGACTTGATGAGAGATTATGGATTATAGGCCAATAGATATAAATAAATGTTGTAAGGCCTATGTTGTTCTGTTTATGCTTTTAATCTGTATTGACAATGACATCCCAAGGTTTTTAATATAATGAAATACATTTCTTCGAAAATGCTTTGATAAAATCTTTATCATAATTTTTTGGAACAAATTCCGCAACACTTTCTTTAAAAAGTTACTCTGATTTTTATATAAAGCATAAACAAAATCGTTCTTTTCTGGCCGTGAAAATGGGGATGTCACAACGATCATACCTCTTCCTTCAATTCTAAATTTTGAATTGTTTCCAAACTTTACAGAGCCTTGGATTTTTGTGTCTAGTTCCCGAAATTTGCTCCTTTCTCCAGTCATGTGATTACTGGACCCTGTATCTAGATACCACATGCTTGATTCACACACAATATCTCCATTTGACTTCAGCTTTGGATTTACCTTCTCTTCATTCAGAAATACTTCTCTGGTTTTTTCATTGAAAGATGATAACAACAGGGCTGGTTCATTGTCGGTATTCTCTTAGATCATATTGTTTTCTATATTTCTCTCCTTCCTTGGGTTCTTGCATTTAGCTACATAATGCCCAAAGTCTTGGTAGTTGTAGCATTGAATTTCACTGTTGTCTTGACTGTGGTTTCCACTGTAGTTTCTTTCTTTCTGTTGGTGAGAACCACCTCTGCCACGACCACCTCGACCACCAAAAGAACCACCTCTGCTCCGACCTCTTCCTTTTCCCCGTGATGACCCTCCATGGTTCCCTTTTGAGGCAGTTTTAGAACCACCCTCACATTTCTTCTTGTTTCTCTCAGTCCATTCTTGGTGAGTTAAGAGACGTTTCCGATCATCTGTTTCACCATGCCCTTTCATTCGTTCTTCATAGGCCTTTAACCTCCCAATCACTTCTCTACCGTCATCTTATCCAAATCAGCAAATTGCTCGAGTATTGATGCTATCTGAAGGAACTTGGTTGGTACTGCCCTAAGTAGCTTCTTCACCACTTAGGATTCATCCACAGTATCCCCGAAGGTGCGCATAGTATGTACTATGTTGGTTACTTTCACAAAAAACTCATCTACTCCTTCTGTTTCTTTCATGTTTAAGGATTCAAACTCAAATTTTAGTGTTTGAATCCTTGATGTCTTTATTCTGTCTGCCCCCATGAACATTTTCTTTAAAGCATCCCATGCTTCTTTGGCTGTTTTCTTCTCAGCCAATGACAACAGTAAGTCTTCAGGTATCCCTTGATAAATGGCTGCCAAAGCTAGTTTATCCTTTTTTACTTCCACCAATATGTTTGCTATTCTAGGTTCAACAGCATCCCAAACACCTTGGGCCTGCATAAATACTATCATCTTGATTGCCTATGCAACATAATTGGATCTTGACAACATTGGATAGTGAAGTGTGACCTGTCCATCCTTCTCACCATTGCTTCCTGACATCTTTATCACACGAGGTTGGTATTTGGGCATGCACCATGTTTGCTCTGATACCAAAATGTTGGTTTCAGGCCAGCTCACTCAAGCTTTGCAAAACAGGGGACAAAGAATTAACACAGGGAAGAGGCAAATGTATCTATGTTTTATTCATTGATAATGAAAGGAAACATGGGACAAAATACAATGTACACCTGCCTATCAATTTAAACTGGAAACTTTGCAGAAAAATAGGAAACAAACTTGACTAGTTGCCAAAGACTAGGAACTCACTCACTTACTCACTGGCATCTTTGATTTATTCAAAGCTAATAAAAACATGCATAAGCATGATATTCTAAATTAAACTTAACATCTCTCTCTCTCTCTCTCTCTCGCTCTCTCTCTCCACAAATCGACATACCGTCAAATGAAGAGGTGGGGGTACCAAGGCTGAGTTTTTTCATTAATAAATAATGTTTAAAACATATTTAAGAATGATAGAATGAAAAAAAAAGTGTTGTGTAAATAAAATGTTAAGGGTGTTAGTCTTGTATGGATAAGTTTTGAATGGATAAACATGTCAGAAATAAGTGTTGTATGAATGTAGACTGTTTCTTTGAATGAACACTAACTATTAATATTCTATTTGTAGGAAGCTATTGGTTTTATTTCATCGATTGGCTCAGTCGGATCCCTTTTTGGTGCAATATTGTATCAACATAGTTTAAAGACTCATCCTATCCGAAATGTACTATTTTGGGCTCAGTTGTTTTTGAGCTTATCAGGGATGCTAGATCTTGTCTTAATACTTAGGCTAAACCTAAAACTAGGAATCCCTGATATGTTATTTGCGATTATCAACGAAAGTGTCTTCCAGTTGGTACAAAATTTGAAGTGGTTGACATTTTATGTTATAACTTCGAAGCTTTGTCCAAGTGACATCGAGGGCACATTCTTCGCTTTGGTCATGTCCATTGACAATTTGGGCAACTCTTCCTCAGAATGGCTTGGTGGCTCACTTCTTTGTTACCTAAATGTCACAAGTACACAATTTGATAAGTTATGGCAAGCAATTTTGATTCGAAATGTTATGAGAATTGCACCTCTTTGTTTTCTGTGTTTGGTGCCTAATGGTGGTGAGGATAGTGAATCCGGGTCGAGTAATTTACAAGATAATGAAGCATTGGAACCCAGAAACGTGGAACTTACACCCCTCATTGCAAATGCTTCAAGTTGAAATAAGGCTTAAAAACATTGAGAAACATTTTATTTATTTTTGTTTTGTTACATTTATTTAGCAAGGGGCAAGATTAATTGGTCAGAGAAAGGCAAAATTATGTTATGAGATAAGGTAAAATTGATATGAGGTATTGATACTAATCTAGTTAGATAATGTTCCATGTACTCAAAAACACGGTATAAGTCGGATGAAGTTCGTGAAGTGATTAATTCTTGGAGTTTGATTACATTTGGATGATTGAGTCTTTTCAAGAAAAGGATTTCTCTTGCCGTGAACTTGACAATTTTTGAATCCATGCTGTCAAATCGTACTCTTTTTAAAGCAACAGTTTTTAGATTTGGTCCAAAGGCATTTTGGTGCTTTAGAAAAAAAACCTAATTAGTCAAAAGTTAAAGTTAACACCAGAAGGACCATTCATGCAAATTTTGAAAGCATAGGCATTAGTGGCATGACATTTTTCATAAACGTCCTCAAAGTGCAATATTTTGCAAATCATAAGGACCAATTATAAAATTTTGTATAGTTCATATTATTCAAGCACTATTCTGTAAGATTTATTTTTTCTATGGTATTTTTCATTTGAATTCAATATGTCCATCTAAATAATTTGCAATCACCACATACTCTGTAAGATTTATTTTTTCTACGATATTTTTCATTTGAATTCAACATGTCCATCTAAATAATTTGCAATCACGACATATAGTAGGATTTAAATTTTATTTAAGTATTGTATTTATCATGGGAGGTTTTAGATTTGTAAACACTATTATGTTATTAAATTCATTCAAATTTTAGTAATTCAATAATTTTACTTAAACTGTTAATGTTTTTTAAGTGTGAAACAACTTTATTGTTGGTTTTTTCCCGACCCATTGTGACAATGTAGTCACAACACTGTGTATGATTATGGAGGGGTGAAATACACTACTTAAGTCTTGTATTTATGTTCAACATGACAAACTAAATAGCTTGCAATCACGGCGAAGAGTAGGATTTGGATTTTATTTAAGTATCGTATTTAATATTGTATATTTTAGATCACAACTCATTCATTTTAAAATCGGATTGATATAAGGTTTTTTCAACATGTAATTTAGAGTTTGTACATGATATTAAAATATAATTTTTTTCATTTTTAGTTTTAAAATCATTTATAATAAAACCATACATCATCCATCATCATAAAGAAAACCATAATCGTGTATCTCAAAACATCGTGTCAAAATATTATATCATAATCATATGAAAATATCAGAGTCTAAACATCCCATGTTGAAGCTGTGGTGTGTGCCATGCGATCATTCCGAACCCTTCCCCTTGCTAGTGGAAGTACCTGAAACGAAAACTGAAAACTGTAAGCACGAAGCTTAGTGAGTTCACCAAACTATCACATACCATACAAATATCATGCAACTAGGAGATACGAGCCCGCCCACTCTCATGGAGATTCGGGCCCCGCCCACACTCCGCTGTCTAGGAGATTCGGGCCCCGCCCACACTCTGTTGTATAGGAGATTCGGGCCTCACCCACACTCTGCTGTCTAGGAGACTCGCCCCCCCACACTCAGCTGCCTAGGAGATTCGGGCCCCACACACACTGTTGGATTAGATGTCTAAGCCCATAACTATAATTGATATTTACTTGACCCGAGAGTAGCATGGTCCATTTGGGTTGCCTTCACCAGGACAATTTGATAGGATGGACTTTTGAGAAAAAGGTTATTTATGATTTATTAATATATTATAAGTTCTAATATATTAATATGAAATCATATGATTTAATTAGTATTGATCAAGAATTAATTTGGAATTAATTTAGTGATAAAAAAGACTAATTAAATTAATGGGAACTAATTGTGTAAATTAGTTATATATATGTTTTTGGCTTATGATACATGATGGATTGAGTTTATGGAAGAATCCATAAAGAGTTAGCCCACTTGAATCATGGATCATGGATGATAAGCCCAAGAGTATGGATTAGGGTTTACCCATGACTCTTGGATTCCTAAAATATATATAGAGCACCCCTTTAGCAAAAATCGGACATAAGAGTGTATTTGCAAGAGTATGGACGATTTGTGGTTGCTAACCTTTCTCTCATTTTTCTTCCAATTGTTCATGGTGTTTATGAACCATTTGAGGTGCAACACTTGAGGCACTAAGTTCTTAAAGGCCAATGTCTACAAGCTGCAACAAAGAGTTAATCTTCTAACTTACTTTTATGATTTATATGTAAATTGTATGCTAGTTGTAGGTTTAATGCTTTGGAAACAATATTGCATGTATAATTAGAGAAAACATAGATCCAAGGAATTTAGGGTTGTATGTGCACCATAGGATGTTGTAGTATACCAAAAACCCAACAGTGGTATCAGAGCCATTGGTTATTTTCTGTTATATTTGATGCTCACTTGTTTTCAAAGCTGGAAAATCGAGTTTTCTGCATTCTGACATATGAACTCGCCGAGTCCATGAACAGACTCGACAAGTCCACTCATTAAACCATCAACTCGGTGATTTCATATCATGCACTCGACGAGTTGGTGCCCGCCCACTCTCATGGAGATTTGGGCCCCGCCCACACTCCGCTGTCTAGGAGATTCAGGCCCCGCCCACACTCCGTTGTATAGGAGATTCGGGCCTCACCCACACTCTGCTGTCTAGGAGATTCGGGCCCCCCACACTCCGTTGTCTAGGAGATTCGGGCCCCACACACACTGTTGGATTAGATGTCTAAGCCCATAACTATAACTGGTATGTACTTGACCCGAGAGTAGCATGGTCCATTTGGGTTGCCTTCACCAGGACAATTTGATAGGATGGACTTTTGAGAAAAAGGTTATTTATGATTTATTAATATATTATAAGTTCTAATATATTAATATGAAATCATATGATTTAATTAGTATTGATCAAGAATTAATTTGGAATTAATTTAGTGATAAAAAAGACTAATTAAATTAATGGGAACTAATTGTGTAAATTAGTTATATATATGTTTTTGGCTTATGATACATGATGGATTGAGTTTATGGAAGAATCCATAAAGAGTTAGCCCACTTGAATCATGGATCATGGATGATAAGCCCAAGAGTATGGATTAGGGTTTACCCATGACTCTTGGATTCCTAAAATATATATAGAGCACCCCTTTAGCCAAAATCGGACATAAGAGTGTATTTGCAAGAGTATGGACGATTTGTGGTTGCTAACCTTTCTCTCATTTGTCTTCCAATTGTTCATGGTGTTTATGAACCATTTGAGGTGCAACACTTGAGGCACTAAGTTCTTAAAGGCCAATTTCTACAAGCTACAACAAAGAGTTAATCTTCTAACTTACTTTTATGATTTATATGTAAATTGTATGCTAGTTGTAGATTTAATGCTTTGGAAACAATATTGCATGTATAATTAGAGAAAACATAGATCCAAGGCATTTAGGGTTGTATGTGCACCATAGGATGTTGTATTATACCAAAAACCCAACAGTGGTATCAGAGTCATGGGTTGTTTTCTGTTATATTTGATGCTCACTTGTTTTCAAAGCTGGAAAATCGAGTTTTCTGCATTCTGACATATGAACTCGCCGAGTCCATGAACAGACTTGACAAGTCCACTCATTAAACCATCAACTCGGCGAGTTAATATCATGCACTCGACGAGTTGGTGCCTCTTTGTGCAGAAATAAAAGTTTTTGGCCAGAAATGGATTGAGTCATTACTAGAAACTGTTTTGTAAAGATAAAAATTGTATTTTCTAAGTTGGTAATGATAATCCTCATCCATTTAAAAGTCAATTGTCAAATGTTTAGATAATTAAATGATTATTTGTAATATTTGATGTGAATTGCTTTGCTATGAGTTAGATTAGATTAATAGAAAAGTCATGTGATAATTGTTTTTTGATTGAAATTAATCTAAAAATTGTTCATGATATGAGTTTTTGTAACTTGTCCTCAACTTATGTGAAAAGTCTCATTCATGAATATTAAAAACTCATAGGTTTTCATAAGTTATGGAAAAATGAAAGGTCTCATTTTTAAGAGTTACTTTAATGTTTTTAAAAGTCTTCCATAACTTTTCCTCAAGTTATGGAACATGAAAAGTTTTTCATAAAAACCACATTAAAACTCATAAGTTATGAAAATCCAAGAGTTTTGACAAGTTTTAAAACTTGCCCTCAAGTTTTGGAATTTGTAAAGTCTCACTTTTGAATACTTTAATTCCAAACCCTAGAATTTTAAAAGTTAAAATTCAACCCTTATACTATTATAATATTAAAAGTTAATACTTATATGTATAAAATGGCAGTCTATAAGGGGGGTATAAGGTTACTGCCTATAAAATGGCAGTTTAATGGGTGTCCACTCTCACCCACCGCTTCCTTGACTGGTGGAGGGTCGTTAGCCGAACGGGTAGGATATGACATTAATTCTCCCTCATTAAAAGTATAATGAAAAAAATATAAAGTAACTAAACTTTTATTAAATTCTCAATCTTAGTTACTTTAGGAAAAATGTGGAATTGGTGCTAATCCATGAAATTGCACTTTGCACCTTGTTAAGTCGTTAGTGGAGTGTGTGTGGTTAACCGGAACACTAATCTGGGACTAACAATGTGTGGCAAAGGGTAACTTGGTGTTAATCATAGATCAATGGAGCGTGTGTGGTTAATCGGCACATTGATTAGGTGATTTGTAACATTGGGTGTACCAAGCTAATTTGCAGGGTTATACACACCTTGTTTGTGATCATCGGCATCCCAGTCACAAACTTGAAGGGCACAATCCAGATTTAAACATGCCATTGAAAAGTTCAATGAATCTTAAAGGATATAGGAATTTCAAATCCAATTAAAACTTAATAATTTATTTCGTTTTTCATGGTGGAAATTGGTAAATCGTCATTTACCTACCTTCAAATATTCTACAATTGGATTACGGCATCCCTTTTTGCAATTGTAGAATATTGTGTTGGGTCCTAGCCTTCATATTTTGTTTTGGGTGTTGTATTAAGGACTTAAATCAACTAACTTGAATTTCTCCTTCATAGATGTCTAGTTCTGACAACTATGGTATTCCTTATCCTTTTAGAAAAAGCTTTCTAATGGAGATGATATCCCACATGGTGATCAAGGTGAAAGATTAATCCCTTTGTCATGCATTAATGGGACTGGAAATCATACTTCACCTCCTCCACCTCCTCCAATTATTCTCCCTAACCCACAAGTTCAAAGACTTAAAAAGTTTAAATTCATGCAAGCCCTATTGCAAGCAAGTCTGTATGTGCCAACATCTTGTAGATGAAGTTACATATTGACAAGCTGGGAGAGTTGGGTGTCGAAGTCTCAAGGAAGATGTCTATTGACTGGGTTCTTTAGTAAGTTCTTGAGTCATATAGCGGGTTCGTTAAGGACTACTCTATGACAGACCACGACCTGACCCTTATCGATCTTACCTATTTGCTTGTTGCTGCAGAATCAGAAATGATTTGGTGCACTGGTAAAACAAATTTTATTGGAAGGTCTACTCACCAAACTTCCATGGACATTGACAATGGTAACATTGGAAATCCAGAAAAGCTTTCTCTTCCCAATGGAAAGGGATCGGCCATGGTCAAGTCATTTGACCAAATGGTAAAGAGAAATGCTAAGTCTGAGATAGTCCAGTATACTATCCCAAAAGGTCCATATGTTCCTATTGCCAAGAGAAGGGGCATTGGTTGCGAATCTGCTCTATTTACCTGAAAGATTATAAGGATGGTAAGGTCAAAAAGTTTGACTCTACTTCAGGTAAGTCCAATATCTAACTCTATTAAGTTCCTATTTGGAGATTCTTAATACATGATGTAATGTAATTAGATTTTTATGTTTTGGAGAATCGAAGAAAAGAAAGGAAATTCAAAGGAAGAATAAGC